TTCACAAAACTTCTAGCAGTTTTATCATTGATATAATTATTATTGGTTATCATTTCAAAAAAAAGTATTTATATTTTGAATGGTAATGGCGGGTGATTGTAATTTATTAAAATCACATAAATTACCATCCAAACATGTCAAAACTTTAGCCCACGGGGGAATAAAATCATCCCCTTGCAACGGAGCATCCCCTGCAGTGTTGGGAGTAACGCATTACAAAAGTAATACATTACAGTAACATATTACTTTTTGCTGTAACGCAGTAGTGTAAGGCATTACTAATCAATTTTCAGTAATATTTTACTCGTTACATGTTCAGTGAGGCTTGTATTACAGTAGTATTACAGTGTATTGTCTGATTTTACTTCTTAAAGGCAACAGACTATGTGAAAGTTTTAAAGCAGTCTTTTAGTGCCAGTTCAGAGCGGTCGCGTCTGTAACATTGTTTTTTCCTCATAAATGCGAACACGAAAACTAAAATCAAATGAATATTTTAAGTTCTGTGGAGACTGGAGAGCCAACCCTTCCTCATCCGATTTGCGCAGTGTAATTAACAGAATTACAAAAAATCGATTTTGCCTCCTATTTTTTTGTCACGCATGAATGTGTGTCTTTTCCCTAATATTAAAAATAAAACATAGACTGATATTTGTCTAATGTCTGGAGTCCTTTAAGGAAGTAGCCTATATACGTTTCAATACATGTATTTTCTGAGAATTTTTATTTCAAGTTTTGCAAATGTCATCATGTCCATAATGCTGGACTTCCCCAATTTTAAATAATTTATCCTCAACTAGTTTTGTGGTGTAGGTCTACGTATTTTATAATGTTAACTTCAAATAATACTAATAGCCTAATTTAAAGATAAAGCAGCATTGGATCTGGACGGTAAGGAGAATAACGCTGGAGTTGGAAGAGGTGTGTCGCGATTCTGTAGGTTCGTTGATCTGAGTCGTGTGGCGAATCGCGATTTCGGTTTCATATTGCATATCGTTACAGCCCAAAAGTTCAGTTCTACTTAGTTATTTTGGTGAAAGTAACTCAAAAGTAATACATGAGTAATGTAACGCATTACAATTCTGGGACAGTAATATTGTAAGGTAATGAATTACTTTTAAATAACAGTAACAAGTAATACCTAATGTATTACAGTTTGGAAGTAACTTGCACAACACTGATCCCCTGCAGCAGTCACCCGGCAATATATTTAAAGGTTTCTTTAATCTTATTATATTATTACATATGAGTTACATACAGCACCCAAACGGTTTTGGACACTTATAAAATAATTTTACTGCGTTAGATATAAAATATCTATCATGTGCCATCTGCATTGAAATGATGCTAAAGCTTTTCTCAAAACAAACTTCACTTTTCCGAGCCACTTGTATATTTTACTTTTTTTTTTAACTAATTGGTCTCTTTTCATGGATGAATGAAAACACTTCAGAAAGTGAAAGTGTCCAAGGCTCGTCTATATTTTCAAAAAAGTATTTATATGTTGAATATTTTTATATTTCGAAACCAAATATATATATATATATATTTTTTTTTTTAAGTTTTTTTCTTTTCTTTAAATGCCACTTGTTTTGCCATTTTGTTACATAATGCAAACACCTTTATACATTTTTAAATGTGTCGAAATACGTTTTATGGCCACTGTACTTAATTTTTATCATTTCATGCTTTTCCGTGGAATCGAACCAATGACCTTGGTTTCACTCGACTTTTTTCTTTGCATTTAAAAAATAAAAAAAATGTAACACTTTACAATATGGGTGCACTAATATACATTAATTCATGCTTAACTAATGCACAGATAATCATGAGTTAATGTATAACTCATGAAGAACTAAACCATTAAATAATGATTACTGCATCAGCAACTAATAAAGAGTCTATATGATTAATAGATTAAGTAAAACACGAATTTCTATTAATTCAACGTGCCATTGTGTATTAATTCCCTAATAACATATTTTATTAACTAATAGTGTAAATTAATGTGTTAATTACCACAATTAGTCACAATTAGTCTAGTTTTCTGCTTTAATTAATAATTAGCTAACGATTTACAAAGGTATCATTATGTTATGACTTTACTTGTTGGGGCACATCATTATTGACTAGTCATTTAGTAATTGTAGTAATTTACACATGAATTTGCACTAACAATGAAGTAATTAATAATGTATTAATGCATATTAGTGTACCTGTCATATTATCTGGAAGTTGAAATACAAGGCTTTGGCTCATTCTGGTAATTAACATATTAATTGACACTATTAGTTAAAATTTAATTAGTTCTTAGTTAAAACATAATAGAGTTATTATGGAATTAATCCACAATTACATATTTAATTAATAACAATTAATGTATGAACTAATACATTAACCTTACATACTCTTAATTAGTTCCTAATGTGGTAATCATTAATGAATAGCTTAGATAATCATTAGTTACACATTAATTCAGTATTATCTGTGCATTAGTTAAGCATGAATTAATGCTTATTAGTGCACCCGTATTGTAAAGTGTTACCAAAAAAATTGCTGCAAAAGTCACACCAAAACATTCCTCATTTGTTTTTCGTAAAATCATTCTTATGTACGTTTTTTTGCATTGAAAGTTCTTTTTATGAACTAAGAGAAATCTGTTCTACTTATACTTTTTAAATTCTCCAATGCATTGCAACATTGTTATGCTTTGGAAGGACGAGTGAGTATCAGTTCAACATGATTACATGACAAAAGTGGGCTGTACTGATATCAGTTTAACCGTGCACACGAATGTACTTATTCATCACCATAACCTTGTACACACTGACATGGATACAATAGGCTTGAAGGTGACTGACCACAAATACTTTTATTTTTTTTTTTTTTTTTTTTTTATGAACACTATCAGGAGGTGTAAGACCTGTGCTAGCACTGTTCTGGAAAAAAAGGAGGCTAAAGTTCATTTCGTAGATTTTTCGAGTATATGGGTTGAAGATGAACTGAAATTCACCATAAGTCACCTTTTATGTTCTCAGACCTGCTAGTCTACCCCTGACACAGTTAGCAATAAGAGCTGATCATGCTCAGACAGGTGAGGGTTCAGCCATGGGAAAGGAGGACAAATGCCAACTGTCTGTCAGTACAGCGTCACAATTTAATATGTACACTCACTTGTAATCGTGTAATCATCATTGCGTTTGATCAAGTGTCTGTGTGTCTCAAATGCAGCAGGATCTTTTCTCTGCACTACTTTTTGTCATCATTTTTGCTGAATGTCTTTTGAATCAGCTGGTGTTATGATGATTATTAATGAATGTATAAAGTCAGTTCTTCTCAATTTCACACAGCAGAGGAATCACATGTGAAGATCATCACATTAACTATCACCATGATATTGTTTTGATATATTGCAGTATACAGAGATGTTGCCTATACAAGTGTATTGCACAATGTTAAATAATCTTTGCTCTGATCTGATCCATTGCAGGTATGTTAAAACCATGTGTAGCTACTATAGTGATGCAACCTTACTCTTGATGCAGTCGGCCATCAATATATCAGGCCAAATGTACACAAAGGAAACAATGGAAAATGTGTTTTTAAACCCTCAGTTTCCTTTGTTTTATTGCTCAGTATTGTTTATGTTAAGCATGGTGATTTCCTGAGCTTATTCCCTATTTTTCTAATAAGTGTTCGTAGTGAAATTTACAAGTGAGATGGTACATTTGTGCATCAACCATAAATATGTGACATAAATTTGCTTGGTTTTTTTTTAAAGTAATATATATCTATTATATATCCCAACCAACCAACTAACTAACTAACTAACTAACTAACTAACTAACTAACTAACTAACTAACTAACTAACTAACTAAATAAATAAATAAATAAATGCGGCTCAATGGCCATGGGGAAATGTGGGTCGCATGACAGTTGAGAACCACTGCTCTAAAAAACCTTTGGTGGAATGAAAAGATTATGGATGTTAAAGGTTCTACAATGGCAACAAAGAGGCTTTATTTTTAAGAGTGTATGATTGGTTGCATTTAGGACCCTCAGAGACCTTCAGAGATCTGGGACCCATTTTTGAGGGTTGATTTGATTGGGCGCTTTGCTGTTGCAAAAAATAATTTTTGCTGCCGCTAGGGTGCGTCTAGTTCCCTTTCGTAGTCACTTCGAGTTACGTCAGAAGTGACGGAGAATTGGGGTTTCGCATTCTCCGTCACTTCTGACGTAAAGTCTCCGTTCCCTACTCAGGGAACGAGGGTTACATCCGTAACCGAGACGTTCCCTTTCGTAGACACTTCGAGTTACGTCAGAAGTGACGGAGAATGCGAAACCCCCATTCTCCGTCACTTCTGACGTAACGTCTCCATTCCCTACTCAGGGAACGAGGGTTACATCCGTAACCGAGACGATTTCTAGGCTAACAGTCGCTAGGAATTGCTGACAATTTTTCAAAACGGTGCTATGTTTGAGCCAACAAGACAGTGATTAAGGCAATATAAAGTTAGATTTCGAAATGTATACACCCAACTCAGAAACTGAAAAAAAAAAAAAACCTATGATGAAAAAAATTACTTTAATGGTGTCAAAACACTCTTTGTCCAGTATCTTCACGAAATATTATCAAAACTTTCCGCAAATTCGCGGGAGACCGTCTTCTGGCAGCAAGGGAAAAATAGCGGAAAGACAGCCTGCTTGATCTTGACGAACTATGTAAACGGTCCGTGTTAGATTTAACCCCGCGTTAGGTTGTGCCCCGCGCTCCCCTATATATATATATATATATATATATATATATATATATATGATAAAATTTAAATGTATTGTTTTTTCTTACTAGATTACTAGAAAAGTCTAAATAATTTGTTTCTGCTATGATTTTAATTTAGACCGTATACACGTGTACACGTTTGTACACGTGGTGAGCAACCATTAAATTTTCGTATAGGAGCATCTTCTGGTGTGCGGACTTATTGTTTACTTTTGTTGCTACCTTACTGCCCAGAACCCAGTTTTATTGTTTTGGATGTGCGTGCTACACCTTTTGAACTCTTTAATTTAGACCGTACCATGTGGTAATTAGTACTTACCTTAAATGTAAGGGCAAATATACTGTGTAATTAAAACGTTTTTTTTATGTTGTTTGTTGTTGTTGTTTTGTTTTCTTGATAATAGTACCTTCCTCTGTAATTACGGTGCAAATAGTGTTGTTTCGTATTGCTACATAGTAAGTAGCGTTTGTTACCCCCTTGTCCTGTGTAGTTACAGGGTAAGTGTAACTCCTGCGGGCTGTAAATTAAAGTGGTGCTTGTTACTCCTTTATTACCCCAAACTAAACATATTGTTCCCTTATACTTACACGGAAGTACACTGTATTTACAGAAACGTACACCGTAATTTCGGTGTACTTACACAGTTGTTTGCGGGTCGTAAAATAAAGTGTTACCCTTCTTTTTTAAAAAGTTTTTTTTTTAATTGAATATTTGGATTTCATTGAAAAGGTAAAAATGACACATTTCTACAATGACAGGGCTGCTTTAATCCATAAGGTAAACTTTACTCAGAAATGGGCTTTTAGCCTATATGAGTTCAGAGATTCAGGTCAAATGGATGTGATATAATGATTATGTTAAAACACCAACATCTAGAGATCACATTTTCTAGTTGATTATCTGGCTGTTATAGCTCAGATACAGCAGCCAAAAACAAACACTGATCACCATAATGGTGACTTTAAATTCTGGTTTGCGCTTTCAGTGATTGTTTGTTATCATCAGGTCTTCAATAATGCTCATTCATGACTCAATTAATCACTTAATTACCTCATTAACTTTAACACTGCAACCTAACCCAGTTATGTGCAGCCTGTTGACATAAAAAAATAATTAAAGCCAACATATTACACAAATTATGTTTGTTTAACGTAATCCAGTTATGTGCAACCTGTTGACATATAAAAGTTAATTTATGGAACCTGTTGACATAAAGTTAATTAAAGCCAATATATATATTTTTTTGAGTGTTCGGTTGAGTTTTCACGGTCTACTTTGGTTCAAAGAAAGTGGTTGTGCTGGTCGGCTACAAAACAAACACTTGTTTATTATCCAGACGAATTAGAAGACCGAGAATTAATACCACTGTTTCATGATTTCACTAACGTCAGCAGGTTTGGCTGGTCTGCTTAACAAAACTAGCCCAATGACCATAACCAAAAAAATCAATACTCAAAATAAGCAATTTCCATACCTACAATACATATTTTTTAGTCACTGTTATGCAATTTAAAAAGCACAACGAAGGCTCCATACCAGTGGCCCTCCTTCACAAAACTTCTAGCACAGTTTTATCATTGATATAATTATTATTGGTTATCATTTCAAAAAAAGTATTTATATTTTGAATGGTAATGGCGAGTGATGGTAATTTATGGGATTTTAATAAATTCCAATCCAAACATGTCAAAACTTTAGCCCACGGGGGAATAAAATCATCCCCTTGCAACGGAGCATCCCCTGCAGCAGTCACCCGGCAATATATTTAAAGGTTTCTTTAAACTTATTATATTATTACATATGAGTAATATACAGCACCCAAACGGTTTTGGACACTTATAAAATAATTTTACTGCGTTAGATATAAAATATATATCATGTGCCATCTGCATTGAAATGATGCTAAAGCTTTTCTCAAAACAAACTTCACTTTTCCGAGCCACTTGTATATTTTACTTTTTTTTTTTTTTAACTAATTGGTTGAATGAAAACACTTCAGAAAGTGAAAGTGTCCAAGGCTTGTCTATATTTTCAAAAAAGTATTTATATGTTGAATATTTTTTATGTTTTGAAACCAAATATATATATATTTTACGTTTTTTTTCTTTTCTTTAAATGCCACTTGTTTTGCCATTTTGTTACATAATGCAAACACCTTTATACATTTTTAAATCTGTCGAAATACGTTTTATGGCCACTGTACTTAATTTTTATCATTTCATGCTTTTCCGTGGAATCGAACCAATGACCTTGGTTTCACTCAACTTTTTTCTTTGCATTTAAAAAAGAAAAAAATGGTAACACTTTACAATACGGGTGCACTAATATACATTAATTCATGCTTAACTAATGCACAGATAATCAGGAGTTAATGTATAACTCATGAAGAACTAAACCATTAAATAATGATTACTGCATCAGCAACTAATAAAGAGTCTATACGATTAATAGATTAAGTAATACACCATTTCTATTAATTCAACGTGCCATTGTGAATTAATTCCCTAATAACATATTTTATTAACTAATAGTGTAAATTAATGTGTTAATTACCACAATTAGTCAAAGCTATGCACTTCAACTTCCAGTTGTCTGCTTTAATTAATCATTAGCTAACGATTTACAAAGGTATCATTATGTTATGACTTTACTTGTTGGGGCACATCATTATTGACTAGTCATTTAGTAATTGTAGTAATTTACACATGAATTTGCACTAACAATGAAGTAATTAATAATGTATTAATGCATATTAGTGTACCTGTCATATTATCTGGAAGTTGAAATACAAGGCTTTGGCTCATTCTGGTAATTAACATATTAATTGACACTATTAGTTAAAATTTAATTAGTTCTTAGTTAAAACATAATAGAGTTATTATGGAATTAATCCACAATTACATATTTAATTAATAACAATTAATGTATGAACTAATACATTAACCTTACATACTCTTAATTAGTTCCTAATGTGGTAATCATTAATGAATAGCTTAGATAATCATTAGTTACACATTAATTCAGTATTATCTGTGCATTAGTTAAGCATGAATTAATGCTTATTAGTGCACCGGTATTGTAAAGTGTTACCAAAAAAATTGCTGCAAAAGTCACACCAAAACATTCCTCATTTGTTTTTCGTAAAATCATTCTTATGTACGTTTTTTTGCATTGAAAGTTCTTTTTATGAACTAAGAGAAATCTGTTCTACTTATACTTTTTAAATTCTCCAATGCATTGCAACATTGTTATGCTTTGGAAGGACGAGTGAGTATCAGTTCAACATGATTACATGACAAAAGTGGGCTGTACTGATATCAGTTTAACCGTGCACACGGATGTACTTATTCATCACCATAACCTTGTACACACTGACATGGATACAATAGGCTTGAAGGTGACTGACCACAAATACTTTTATTTTTTTTATTTTATTTTTTTTTTATGAACACTATCAGGAGGTGTAAGACCTGTGCTAGCACTGTTCTGGAAAAAAAGGAGGCTAAAGTTCATTTCGTAGATTTTTCGAGTATATGGGTTGAAGATGAACTGAAATTCACCATAAGTCACCTTTTATGTTCTCAGACCTGCTAGTCTACCCCTGACACAGTTAGCAATAAGAGCTGATCATGCTCAGACAGGTGAGGGTTCAGCCATGGGAAAGGAGGACAAATGCCAACTGTCTGTCAGTACAGCGTCACAATTTAATATGTACACTCACTTGTAATCGTGTAATCATCATTGCGTTTGATCAAGTGTCTGTGTGTCTCAAATGCAGCAGGATCTTTTCTCTGCACTACTTTTTGTCATCATTTTTGCTGAATGTGTTTTGAATCAGCTGGTGTTATGATGATTATTAATGAATGTATAAAGTCAGTTCTTCTCAATTTCAAACAGCAGAGGAACCACATGTGAAGATCATCACATTAACTATCACCATGATATTGTTTTGATATAAGGCAGTATACAGAGATGTTGCCTATACAAGTGTGTTGCACAATGTTAAATAATCTTTGCTCTGATCTGATCCATTGCAGGTATGTTAAAACCATGTGTAGCTACTATAGTGATGCAACCTTACTCTTGATGCAGTTGGCCATCAATATATAAGGCCAAACATACACAAACGAAACGATGGAAAATGTGTTTTTAAACCCTCAGTTTCCTTTGTTTTATTGCCCAGTATTGTTTATGTTAAGCATGGTGATTTCTTGAGCTTATTCCCTATTTTTCTAATAAGTGTTCGTAGTGAAATTTACTATTAAGTCAAGTGAGATGGTACATTTGACATAAATTTGCTTGGTTTTTTAAAGTAATATCTATTTTATATCCCAACCAACCAACCAACCAAATAAATAAATAAATAAATAAATAAATGCGGCTCAATGGCCATGGGGAAATGTGGGTCGCATGGCAGTTGAGAACCACTGCTCTAAAAAACCTTTGGTGGAATGAAAAGATTATGGATGTTAAAGGTTCTACAATGGCAACAAAGAGGCTTTATTTTTAAGAGTGTATGATTGGTTGCATTTAGGACCCTCAGAGACCTTCAGAGATCCGGGACCCATTTTTGAGGGTTGATTTGATTGTCTGTGCCATTTAGTGTACGTGACACATGGTTTCACATCCTAAACCCTCTGGCGAAACATTGCATAATCAGGTCTGTGAAAGTAGGTCTGAAGTCACTCCAGGTTAAAGTGTGTGAGAGGTGAGAAATGCACTCCTTTGTGATCATTTGTTGTCTTGTTGAGTTATTGTACAGCTTCTATCATAGAAGATATATAACAGAGCATCACAATTTTAAAACAAAAGTGTTGAAATATTTGTTCATGGTAGCTGGGCCCAATGTGATACCTTTTGGCCAGGGTCCTGCAATGGTGGTTAAAACCCAAGGGCTTTCCCCAGAGAGGGAACCCATTATGTATGACCAAAAATGGCCATGGGCTGAGGCATGGTCATAAGACAGGGGGTCTGAGATCATGGTCTCTATGCAGACTGGTGCATCAGATCCTCCTGTTGTTGTCCCAGGGGAAACTGTTGTCTCTCAATGCAATGTACGTCCCAGGGGTCCAAAATCAGGGAGCAGACATCCTGTTGAGGCAGGGGTTGAGGCCCGGGAAATATTTCAGGTAGGCACATAAAGACATCAATAATTAGCATATGTATCTCAACAATGGTGACAAAAGATGACCTCTGAAACTCATTATTTATTCATACAACAATGCAAGATGGTAGCCATGAGTGAGATTTGATTGGTGGCATCCAGAATTATTCTGACACTCAATTATTCTGGACCAGAATCAGTGTTAATGTTGATTTAACACTGTGGA